GATGGTCACCCTGGAGAGCGTCGCCGGTGAAGCGGCCACTCACCAGCCGAACTTTTCGGACAATGAGGCACCGTCGCCGTCGAATTGCCGAAGGACTGCCGGTACCGTAACCTCAATGGCGGGAACCGTATGTCAACCGGCCGCCACAACGACCACTGCTCAGCTACACCATCCGAAGCCGACAATTACGAATCCTCTCACCGAGCACACCTATCGAAGTAACGCCAGGAGCGCGTTTGGCGGCCGTAGCGGCGGAAAGAATTTGCCCGCCCAATTTGCCGGCGGGTCGAATTTACCCGCCCAATTTGGCAGCGGCGGCGGCGGGAAAAATTTGTCCGCCCTTCAGTTAGCATCCAAAAGTAGCAGTAATTTGTGTATTAATGATAGTAGTGGTGCTGCCACTGGGTTGTTGATGAAGCCAAAAATTTCACGCTCAGTGAGTATAAATAACTATGATGGTACTAATGATAATGATAATAATAAATTTAATATGAGCAACTCCTATACGTATAGTAGTAATAGCGCTGCAGCAGCCGCAAGCCATGGTAATTTGAATTTGGCGCCACAAAATAATTTCTGTGGGAATTGGGCTGCGACAGGTGGAGGTGGAGGTGGAGGGGTTGGAGGAGGTGAGGGTAGCCAATGGCGAAGACAGAGTAAATTTGCGCGCAAGTACGAGCGAGAGGCCGCAGCGTTCGCCCGGGGTGTTGCGCACGAGGTGCCGACTCCGGCTCCGAGCCGGGCTCCGACACCGAGTAGGGCTCCGACTCCGGCCGGAGCAGCTCCGACCCCAACCCGGGGAACCCCTTCGCCGTCATCGTTTATGGCCACACCCGGACACGTAGTGCCCACCATGTTGACACAGGCTCAAGCTCAAGCTCAAGCGCAGTGCCCACCTCAAGTAATCATCACAACGCCAAATCATGTCCTCTTATAACGAATAGTAGTGAAGGGCGAAGCCGAAGCCTGAAATTGAATTGGCAGCTCGCAGAGACCTGAAATTGTAATTTTCGACCTGAAATTGCATTGGTACTTTAAAAATTTAGCGCAAATTTGATTTTTTCGTTTATTTTGGCCGAGTGGTTGGCTGCTGCCCTTCACTTCACTTACTTGACTGTTGCTGCGGCTGCTGCGGCTGCTGCTGCGCTTAGTATAATATTATGATACGGGTTCGTTTTCGGATTGAGGTGCTGTACGGTATTGAGCTGTGCTGCAAAAAATATGAAGCTGCATCATAAAAATTTGATATGAAGCTGCGTTGTTGATATGAAGCTGCATTATAAAATTGAAGTGGGATGAATTTGAAATGATGCCAAATAGTAGTATATATTTATTTTGTTTATTATTATTGTTATTATTATTATTGTTATTTATTATTATGCGTAATTTTGTTATTGTTATTATTGTAATTGTATTGTATTGTATGATCGCATAGCGTGTTTAATGACCTATCATATTTATTTGTTTGTCTTTTAATAGTAATANTAATAATAATAATAATAATAATAATAATAACAGTAATAATAATAGTAATAGTAATGGTAGTAATAATATTTATACATGTTATGTAATGGAAATATGTATATATATTTGTATTTTACATATATTTATTGTTATCTTTATTATTATTACTATTACTATTATTATTATTTATTATTATTATTATATTTATTATTGTTATTATTATTATTGGAGAACTCAGATGATTGTTAATAATGTGAATTGTATACGAAGAGATTCCTCAAAGCTGCGTACCGTATTTATTTGTTGCCTGTAAAAATCATCCGGTTAGTGTGCAGTACAGTCAAGTATTTTATTGTATTGTATTGTACTGTATTGGAGAAAAGTCACCCGGATGAGTTTTACAGTGTTTTTTGAATTTCGACTCAATGTGATTTGATGTGATTGATGTGGATGAGTAATAATAATTAATTATAATTAAGAGAGAATAAAAATATTTATTTATTTATTTTTTGTTTTTTGGAATTTTGGATTTTTACATTGAATGTCAGTTAGTCTTGTTATTTACTTATTATTTTTAGTATTATTGTTATTATTTTTATTATTTATTATTATGTTATGTATATTTTTAGAATAATTATCAATAATATTTATTGTATTGTTAGTATTATTATTGTTGTATTATTATTGTTAGTGCTGTGGTTGAGGTATGAGGCTGTAAGCTGTTCGCAAGATATGATATGAGGCTGCAACAGGGGTAAGGCGTACGCGCGCGAACGGGAGAGAGCGTTCGCAACTGTTCGAGGTCACATTCCTGCGTGTGTGAGAGAGACAGATGATCTGTCAGTAGCGAGTTGTTAGTAGTTAATTATTATTATTTATTGTGGTTGTTTTTATTATTTATTATTATTTTTATTGTTATATTTATTATTATTTGTTATTATTTATTATTATTTATTACTGTTTTTTAAAGTAGTAAGTTGGTGAGTCAGTAGTCATCTGTCAGTTGAACGCAGTGAAAGGAGTTGGGAGGGTAGGGTTTGAGAGTAGTGTTATATAGTGCTGTTATTGTGTTTGTTATTGTTATTATTTATTATTATTTATTATTATTATTATATTTTTTATTATTTATTGTTATTGTTTTTATTATTTATTATTGTTATTACTCATTATTATTATAGTTATTTATCAGTAGTATTACTATTATGGGTAGTTAGTAGTATCATTATTGTTGTTAGTAATTATAGTTACTGTGGAGTATTAATGTTAAGTATTATTATTTTTATTATTATTATTCATTATTATTGTTATTTATTATTATGTATTGTTATTATTTATTATTGTTATATTTATTATTATTATTATTGGTGTATTTAATATTCATTAATATTATTTATTATTATTAATGGCAATTTTATGAGATTGATTGGTTTCAGCGGCACTAATGGAGGTATTATGCTAAGGATTTGGTGAGAGCGATATGAGAAGAATATTATTGTATTATTGGAGCGAGTCAGAGAAGCAGAGAAAAAGCGGAAGATAATTGGCGACTTGTGGATAAGGGAAGAGAAAAAGAAGCAAGTGAAAATGTTCGTTCTCGCGTTCTCGTTTTATGAGTAATTTACGTTATTGGTGCTGGCTGCTGAGTGGTACTGATAAGCGGTGCTGATAAGCAGTGATAAGCGATGGTCGAGAGTGATAAGGATCTGAGTCGAGAGTGATAACGGCTGGATGTGTCGCCGCTCACTTACACTTCACATTTATTGTAATTTGTTTGCTTGCTTTCGGCGTTTGTGACTGTTTAAGCGAAATTTCAGCCGCAGCAGCCAAGCAGAAGTGGCCTAACCACATTGGATCAGGAATTTGATCAGTATTGATTGATCAGTGAACAGATAGATCAGCAGTGGTGTGCCTTAAGTGTTCGTTACGTATCGGTGCAGAATCGTCCGGATCTGATCAACTGATCATTGATCAGTAATCGATCAATCAATATGGTGCTAGCGATGCTGATGTCATCATCGTCAATGGCTTGCAGTTATCGATGCCGTGTCTTCGTGGTTTTGGTCACTCTCGGCTGCTTAGCTGCACCAGCTGCAGCTGCAGCTCAAGGAGCGCAAAATTTGGTCTCGAACGGAAATCTCCGGCCTGATTTTCGGGCTGCTGCCGCTGTGAATTGGCTGCATGGAAGACGGCTGCCGCTGCCGCATGCTCCTGCCCATGCCCGTGGGAAGCGAGGCGTTTCGGGGTTCAGCCAAGAGTATTATGACGATGACGGGGACACTGGAGAGCAGCCGGGGGAGAATTGGGACGAGGACGATTGGCGACCGCATTTCGAGGAGGCCGAACCGGGTGAGACCGCCGAGAACAGTGTACTGGCTGGGATGATCGCTGAGCTGATGAAAGACTCCCAGGTGCAGCTGGTGATGGATCTGGATCTCCTGAGGTCGCTGTTTATCCACCCGACGAGTCGGATTCAGACGACAGTAGCCAATGGTGATGAGTCGTATGTGCGGCAGTTGTTGTCGCTGTTGGAGCCGTTGAAAGTACGTGAGTTGACCTTTGACCTTTTAGTGACCTTTATTGATCTGTGATTGACCTTTGACCTGTGGGCCATCAAGTTTTTGGATGATATTTGAGTGGGACGGAGCCGGAAAGGCGTGAGTGATAGCGGGTATGGTGTGAGTGATTGGGTTGAAAATGGTTCGGATGGCCGAGTGGTAAGTGGCGCGGTTTAGCAACTGGAGGGTGGGGGTTCGGTGCCTGCCGAGGGAGATTTTTTTTGAAATGTGTCTGTTCGTAGGGATTTTGGATGTAGTGTTTATTTTTTGTTGTTTACTTGTTTACTTTTTGTTGTTTACTGTTTACTTGTTTACTGTTTACTTGTTTACTATTTGCAGGAATATGACGTGTCGGCACCGTGTCTGGCCGACCTATCGCATTTTCTGTGGTCAGCAGTG